CGGCGACTTTGGCCCAGGAAGTCAAATAACTTGTTGGTTTGCGAGCGCCCATGTTCGACCCTTGCGTGTGCTTGTGGTTGCCGGCACCACGTTTCAACTCTCCGTTTGTCCATGACAAAATCTAGTACGTGGTTCGGCTCCAATTCCCAGAAGGGCAGCACAAAATATTCCAGGGCGAAGCCGCACGTGCTAAGGTCACTAAACGTGAAGAAGCGATACGGTGTCTCCGCATGGGTGCGTCATTTTTCTTGAGGCGACCCCCGTTGTTTGGTGGTGTTAAAGGAAACCAGCTAAAAAACATAATTTGTGTGGGGTGAAGCACACAAAAGCCGCGCCGCCCATATGCTGTGCAAACGTTAGAATAAAGTTTCCTCGGGTTTCCATCTTCATCTCCCGATCGAGCAAGCCAAGGCCGTGCCACGCCCAAAAGCTCGTGGACTGCTATCAGGCGCTTTCCCCACCAGGGGTGGTTGGGGGGGAGGGAGTTGGGCCCCGTGTTTGTTTGACATGAAGAGCGTCCTTTTTTCCGTGTTTTTTTCTCCTTTTTTTTTCTCCATTATTTCGGTATTGCAGTGTGCTACTGCAAATGTCAGAAAGAAGAATATGACATATACCCTCCCATCAATTATCATGGAACCTGATAGGGACCCGGTCCCTTTCAAAGGAGCATGGTCTTCCACCAGGACTTTCCGAACGTCAGGATCCATGTTAACTGGCGGGAGGGTACCATTCTTTGAGCCCCTTGTTCCTTGACATTGACACCTGTTCTAAGGGTTGATTCCCCATTCTTTTCAGCCATCGTTTTCCCCAGGAGTTTTGGTGGTTTTCTAGAAAGATTCGGATCCCGGGAAAGAATGGAAATGGAAGGTACCCCTAGACCTGCGCTTTTTGTGATTCCTCCGGCTGGTGGGCTCCGGGGACTGCTGACTGCTGACTGCCTGGCTTCCAATCTTACCCTAAACCCAGCCCAGCCCCAAACCCACCACAAACCCACCCTAAACCCAGCCGAATCCGGCCATAAAACCGTATCCTAAAGCATCCCTAAACCAGTCTTACGCCTGCCATAAACCAGATTTAAACCCACCCACAGCCCTAAACAAACCCTAAACCACCCCTAAACCCACCATAAATCTATGCCAAACCGACCCTAATCCCATCATTTATCTTCGCTGAACCAACTTTCAATCCAACCCTAAACCAACTGAGAACATCCTCGAGCCAACCTAAACCGGCCTAAACAAACTCTAAACCGACCATAAACCCCTCTAAACCCACCTTAAATGCACCTCAATCCACTCTCAACTAGCCTTTCCCAACCCTAAACCAAACGTAAATCAACCCCGCTTAAACCAACCCCCAACCCACCCTTGACCACACTTAAACCAACCTTAAACCAACCTTAAACCAGCCGTAAGCCTAACCTAAACCAACCCTAGCCGGCGCTAAACCCACCCTAAAACTCCCTACTCCCCACACTGCACCAACACTTCACCAACACTACACCAACACTTCACCAACACTACACCAACACTAAACTAACACTAAACCAACACTATACTAACACTAAACCAACACTAAACCAACACCAACACTAAACCAACACTAAGCCAACACCAAACCAACACTAAACCAACACGAAACCAACACTAAACCAATAAGCCAGCTGAAAGCATGTGGTGTTTCTTCCGAATGGGGGAACCCAAAGGAGAGCTTCAGTTCCCGTGTGGCTTCATCCTCTTGATTTTCTTTGGTCGGAGTAATAGCAGCTGGTTGCTCGGTGTGTGAAGTCGAATTGGACCCTCTTTGAAATGCTTTGCAACGGGTCTTGCTTGCATAAATGCAGAAGAGCATCCTGCATCACATGCGCCAAAATGCTAGCTATGCACGCGGTGTACCTATGAATCAGCCCTAGATATTTCCATTGGCACTGGTGAACCTCCCTCTTATTCGTCCCTTAGGGGCAAGCCGAAAAAGTGCAATGCTCCTTCGCAGGGTGTTCGCAGAGTTTTCCCACGGTTTTCCGGAGTTGTGTTTTTTTTTGTTTTATTTATGTTTTAGCAGGGTTTCGTGATAGTTTTGCAGGGTTTTAGCAGGGTTTTTGCCGGGTTTTTCAAGGTTTCTGATTGTGTGCCAAGGGTTTTATTCGCCAGGGTTTGCGGGCTTTTTTCAAGGGATTCTCCCGTTTTCCCAGTGATACCAGGGTTTTTCCATGGTTTTTCCAGGGTTGTTCCAGGTTTTTCCAGGGTTTTTTTAGGGTTCTTCCATGGTTTTCCAAGGATTAAAAGTTCCGTTTCGGTTGTTTTGAACATCACCTTTTTTGGGTCCATTCGAACGAACATTTTGAGGGCTTCTTAAATCACTTTGGGGGGTGTTTCACTGTAAACCACAATGAGGGTAAGTTTGAGGATGTTCTTCTTTTTTTTAATGCACCCAGTCACGAGTCATGGTAAGTTTCCTACTTCCCACATGGGTCGACCAATTTGCCGACTCGCTGCGCCAGCCGCGGGCGCAAGAGTTCTTCATTGGAGAGGAGGAGGAGGAGGAGGCTCGAAGCTTCACTGTTCTGGGCACCTGGAGTCTCCATTTTTTTTTTTAACATGACCCAAAAGTAAGGGGTCATCACCCCATTGTTCAAGGGTCTTCCAAACTTTAGGTTGTTGTTTGATTTGTGTGTCTGGTTCCCTCGTTTTCGTGCTGACATGGGGGGTGATCTTCACTTCAACCACCGCTCGGTCTAGGGGCCTCAAACTAGACCTCTCGAAATGCCGAACTTGTCCTGGGAAGGTGTCCTGCCATCTTCCCCATTGGGGTTCAAAAGGAAGCCACATGGGAGCCAGCCATTCGAGAAGATTCCCAGTTTTGACAAATCACCACACCAGCTGTGTGGTTTCAAGGCGTGCGACTTGGGTTTTCCTTTGGCTCCTTGTGCAAACCGAGATGTTTCGATAACGGAGCATCTTCTCGGGGGGGGGGGCGGGGGGTTCCAACCATAGCCTAAGGCTTGGCTCGACGAAGCCTAGGCTTTGCCGGGGTTCGCCGCGAACGCCCGCCTGAGGCGCAAAGCGCCACGCAGCAGTTTTACATTGGCGACGAGGAGTCGGGTTGGACTTTGTCAGCGGACTGTGCGGTGCCAGGCTTCTTTGTTTCAGAGCACAGACAGGCGTTGAAGAGGTCATTTCATAGGGGTCCTTTTTGGTCGGTTGTTGCAAATAGATGGCTCTGGTTTACCTATAGTTGTTTATTAACCAACCAAAAAGGGCACCTACGATTGCAGTTGTTTACTTGGCAAGTACTTTAAGATACTTTAAGGGCCTTTTCCCAGACTGGCACAATCGAACTTGGCAAGAACCGGGCATGTCCTTTTTTGAAGGCACCCGTTTAGGAACCAACCTTTTTGTGAAGGCCCCATGCAGAACCCCCATTGAATCCATCGATGTTGGAGGCTGACACCACCATTTGGCACCGACCGATCCCTCGTGTCCAAAGGCCCTAGGCTCCTGCCCCGTCGGACTCATGCAGGTCAAGCGTGTGGGATAGGCCAGGTACAAGAGGCTTGCTCAAACATGACAAGCATCTCCTGTGACTCAATTTGTTATTTGAGTCTTCCGCAAGCTCGATGTAAGCATCGGGTTAGGAGGCATGTCTCGCCCATGAACCACACAAGTGGCGCGACTCCCTGGGATAGTTTCTAGGCTTTGTCTCAACACAGTTTGCCTTTGGTTTCCGTTTGAAACACCCCCCCAAAACGGGTACCCTTTAAAAAAGAGACCCCCATGCTGCATGATTCGCCGCAACATGAGGGCTTCAGCGAGATCGCCACAGAGTGGAGGGTTGCAACCCACTCGCCACCCATTTCGTGCCGCAAATCACCCCTTAGATCTCCCACCATTTATTTCTCTCCCCCCATTCCAGCAAACGGATTGGATGCGCTTTCTGTGGTTTCCCCATGTTGTTTGGCTAGTTGTTCCTCTTTTAATACTCTTTTAGTACTCTTTTGCTATCCTACAAGGGCGGATCCACAAAAACCGCATCCAAACCGTTTCCTAGACCCATGCCCCATTTTCAACCGGGTTCAACCAGGCTTCAAAAAATGATCCCCCAAAAAATCGAACAATGGTACAAGGTATCCTTTTGGTTCCCCTTTAGGGACCCCTTTTCCACGAACGACGAACGCCTCTCGGGTTGCATGAGAGCACCCCTCGTGTACACGCCCAGGAGCCCGAGATGTCCTTGCCCTGAGGGCGACTTCGCGCCACAAATGTCCACAGAAATGCCTTCAAAAATCAGTCGCGCGCTTGCTGGACACCAACACAATTTTCCTCCGGAGTTGGACACCAACGCGACTTTCCTCCGGAGTGGCGAAGTTCTTAATTTCCCAGCCCCATGTGTAGTAGGTAAACAGCCCATTTTTCCTTTGGTACTTAAGGGTGGTCAATAGGTAAGCGGAATCTCTGGGCATAAGCCTCCCAATCGCAAGGGTGTGTTGGGAATGGAGCTCAAAGCGTGTGTGGTTTCCTTTTTGGTTTCAAGAGCAACATCGAGAGGACATTTCTCATCCATCATTTGTGGACACACTTAATACTTCATCAAAAGCAAGTTTGAGGTGTTACTACCTGCCGACGCCAATTTGCTCATTAAAGATAGTTTTGTTGCTTGACTAGGAGTGCAGATGCGGATGCCCGTAGCACCCAGCACATGACATACACGTTGAACTTAGGTATTGTGTATGTTGGATATCCAGCATTGTCGGCGCATGTTTGAGTCTGCGGCTTCGACATTGATGCTACTTGGCCATCACACACGATGCAGTAGTTCCCGTTGTGGTTGGTTCTTGACATTTCAGGCAATCATGGTGAAGCCCTTGTTTCTTGGGCAACTACTGCAAGATGATTATGACAAGTGCGGCGCTGTTGGGGGAAAGGATGTTCTTCGTTTTTCTCTCCCTCTGCGATGTGTGTGTGTGCGCGTGTGTGTGCAAGCCAAGCTGATGCATTCCCGACAGGGACTTGGCTCAAATGAAGCTGAAACAGCGCTACGCGTACCAATTTGCAGTATATCATCCTGCAGTTGTCTCACAATTCAACCGGTCCCTTTTTCCAGAGTGGCCGTTGGCTTTTGTGGCCGTTGCCATGGCGAAACACCTTACCCGAGGAGCCAGTGACATTTTTGCATCCGTAGTCTACGACGAGAAAGTCAAGGACACCTTGGTTGGTGTCTACATCGTTCCATTCCTCTACTTCAGAGAAGTGTTGGATCTGGAGCTGGTAAGGCAAAGGCTCCTTGAGAAGTTGATGCCCATTGCCCGGTTCCGCAGCAGGGTTGAGAGCGTGCCTGGGCCGCTGGGTTGTAATTCTGTCTACGTGGAATTGGATCGCAAGACGATGGAGGCATCCCTGAGCGAGTTGGTATCGGCTCCAGCGGGATTGACCACCGAAGCGGACCTAAATCGCTTCGTGTCCGGCCTGTATGGCCAAACCTGGGATCCCGCGCTCCCACTGTGGAGGGCCTATGTCATCAACCACCTGGAGGATGGAAGGAGCCTGTTGATGATGAAGATCGACCACGCCATGGCAGATGGGGTGGCCCTCTTGGATGTGCTCTATCACATCATCGACTCATATGATGGTCCAGTCATAGAGATGAAATCTGCGCGAAGCCCATCGGCTGACTCTGGGTGCTTTGACTGTGATAGCTGCTTGTTGCACCTCCAGGGCTGGTGGCGCGCCATCTGGAAGCCTTTCATCGGAGAGCTTCTGCCGGGGGATCCCCCGAATCGCTTGAAGTTCAAAGATGCCAAAGTGGCTGGGAGGACCAAGGCTGTGGCGTCCACCCCGGGGATTGACTTGGAGGAGGGGGTGGATATTGCTTCACTGGGCTCGGCAAGAAGAAACATGAGGGAGACATTGGGTAAAGGAAAGGAGCAAGAGCGATCTTTCATGGACCCCTAAGGAGGCCTAGAAAATGGGCTATCCCTGAATAAGCCTAGGATAAGCCAAGGATAAGCCCTGAGCCCCGCTGCGTCTTAGTGAGGGAGTGGCTCTTTCAAGGGAACCAGATTGCCACCGATTTAGTTGAGCATATCTTCTGCACCTCCAGTCTATCCATGATTTACTGGCAGGCGCCGATATATCAAGTGTTTTTAGTATGTATTTGAAGACTTAATACAAAATATGGCTCGCACTTCTGACGGCATTGCAAGCTCTTGAGATTGATTCAGATGGTAGGATATTTTTTGGATGGGGATTAAGGCCCCATTGAGGGCCCCCTCTCCACAACCCCCTGTCCGGGGTCCGTGGATCTTTGAGAACTCCAAAATCGAGCAGGTGCCAAGCGTCAGCAAGTGGTAACGGCCCAGGAGATCAAGGCTATCAAGTCCAAGATCCGAGGAGCCACGGTGAATGATGTGCTGATGACGCTGATGTGTTTGACCTTGAGGAAGTACTTCCAGAGATACGAACCTTCCACCTTGAAGCAGTCAGTGACTGCCACAATCCCCGTCAGTGTGCGAAGAGAGGGAGAGGAGGATATCTTCAATCCAATGTTCTTCGGCAACAACTTTTCACAGGCTCAGATCAGTTTCCCCCTGGAGGTGGAAGATCCCATGGAGGCCTTCCGGCGTGTGAAGTCTCAGATTGACGTCATCAAGGTGTCTCCGGAGCCCCACCTTCGCCTCGGCTTGATCTCGTGCCTAACTTCCTGTGCCGTTCCTCAAAGTTTGCTGGCGTCGGCGATGATGGACCAGTTCGGTCGAGTCACCGCCACCTTGTCCAACGTCATTGGCCCCTTGCGGGAGGTGCAATTCCTAGGCCAGGCCGTGGATGACTTGTCCTTCTACGCCATGGTTCCCTTGGGGCTCTACCTGGGGGTGGTGCAGTACAAGGGTCGCATCAAGGTGGGTATGGGTCAAAATGAGTCACCACCAGGAATTGGACCGCAGGTTTTGGTCCATGTTTCCATTTGCCAGGGCAACTCATTTTGGGGTTACCCGATTTTTGCCTCACAGCCAGGTGGGCATCTGTTGCGACGGCGAGTTGGAGCCGGAGCCTACGCGCCTGGCCGAGTGCTGGGAGGAAGCCTTGCAGAGCCTCAAGGCCGCGGCTGGCAGATGACAAAAGTCGGCCGCCACTTTTTGCCGCGGCCTGCGCCTGTTTTCTCCTTTTAAAATAGCGGGGCCCCAGATGAAACCATCGAAAGCCGCAAGTGGATGGGTTGCCCCGCTGACGAGTTCAGGTTTAAGTTGGAACCATTTGGGGGAGAAGAAGATGCACAGTTTATATGGGGGTTGATCAAAAGGTCCTTGCAAGGAGTTATGTATTCGGTGACCATTCCTCTTGGCTTAGCGAAAGATCGGCATTGGAGTTCGCGAAAGAAACTTATTTTTTCGCGAAAGATTCCGCGTTGGATTCTTGGAGGCATGCCTGTGCACTTACATATTTGCAGACCCCGCTCCCTTGTAGATACGGTGACGACTTTAAATCGGATATTTAAAGTGGCTGGCCGGGCCACCCTCACGAACCCTTGAGGTAGAATGAAATACCAATTAGGATGTTTAAATTGCAACACCAAGAAGACAGACCCCTTCCCCGTAAAAACGGGGCGTAACACAATTCAAGCCCTTGCTAGCAGCTGCGTTGCGCTAGCTCCTGCCAAGCCAGGTCAGATTGCACAGGTCCAACCTAAGGCGCCATGTCGGTGCAGACCTATGCTTTCGTAACTCTGCTACATACATGCCTGGAATTGCGAAGCTTGTCTTGGACGGGACTCCAAGATTTCCTTGAATTCTTGAGGCTCCTGACGTCTTGGGATGGAAGCTGCTTTTCAACAAATCTCAGAATGAAAAAAACTGGAAGAGAAGAAAGAGAAGCAAGAGAGAGAGAGAGAGAGAGAGAGAGAGAGAGAGAGAGAGAGAGCGAGAGAGAGAGAGAGAGAGAATGCCTGTATCTGGCATTGGGCCCTGTGTCAGCTCTGTTTCAGACCTGTTTCAGACCCCTGCAAAAGAGACATCTCATATTCGCAAAATCCCGCCCCGAATCCCCAGCACCAGTATAGCGGTGCAGCGGCTCGCGGGCCGTGGAGGTAGTATGAAACACCAATTGGGACATGGTGCAACACCGATGCCTGCAATTGCAGACCAATGCTTTCGTAATTCCATGCTACATAAACGCCCGGAATTGCGGAGCTAAGTGCGCTGCATTGGGCTGCCTAAGCCCTGTCTACGTGGCTCGTGGAGACAGAAAGCAAGAAGGACATGAATGCCCCTTGTCTCGGACAGGGCTCCTAGATTTCCTTGAATTCTTGAAACTCCTGGCGTAGGGAGATACGCAGCACCAACACTTGCATCATTGATTCCCTGCCTGTGTTGGGAATGGTGCAAATCAATTGGCTATTTTGGAGCAAGTTTCGCGAAAGATCCGCGAAAGACCGGCGAAAGGACAGGGAGCTTGGCAAGCGCAAGTGGCAAGGGCGAATGACGAGGACTGCTTGCACTTAACATTACGTACTACGCGCAAGTGAACTGCGACTACCGCGTTTGCAAACATAACTGCAGCAGCCACAATGGCTCCATAGCGCACGCTGCAAACAAAAGGGCATGGTGATGGAGTCGTGAAAGATTCACGAAAGATTTTTTCTCGCGAAAATTACATTTTCCGGAAATAGGAATATTGATTAACAGCCATGTTGAGATATAGAGGGGAAGACCTTTTGGTCTGGTGTTGACGCTTTGCGAACATTTTACGAAGGAGATCGTTAAAAAGACAATCCCGCAAAAATGTGGTTTAAGAAAATTGATTAATAGGAAAAATGAATAATGTATAGAATATATATATGGATAAATGTTTATTTATTTTTTTTTGTGTGTGTGTATGTATATATATTTTGAGATTGGTTGGAATTATGGAAATGCATTTTGTATATTATTTTGGAATTGAAAGGTTATTTGATATTTTTATTAAATGAATTTAATATGATTTAATTATTTATATAAAGATATATTATAATTTTTTATAATATTATGGAATCGTTATAATGGTATTTTGATGATATGTTTGTGGTGATTGGTTATATACATGTTTTTTTTAAAGATATATATTATTTTTCTTATTTTTTTTTTAATTTGGAATTTTTATTTTATTGTAAACGCTTCGCGTTGCCCGCCTCGGCCCAGCCTAGTTTGAGGGAAGGGTCAGGAACACCGAAATCCAGTGTTGGGAAGGTCCGAATACCTGAAGTTGGCTCCAGACAAGTCAGACAAGCCGGCCTCGCCTGGTTGGGCTGGGCCACAGGCTAGTCTCAGACACATTAGATAAGCCTGCGCTGGGCCTGAAGCTAGTCTCGGGCAGCTTGGGACCTTGCTTGCGTGGGTTGTTGGTTGAGCTGAAGCTAGTTTACGGCGGGCTGGGCAGCCGCACTGAGGGGGCTGGGCTATGGCTGGGCTGGGCCTGAGGCCAGTTTCAGACACGTCAGACAGGCCTGGCCAGCAGGCGGACTGGGCTGGGCTAGACGCTAGTTGAGCCCAGGCTGGTGAGGCCCAGTCTCGGCGCTAGATAGGCTGAGGCCTGCGAGTCTCAAACCGGGTGGGCTTGGGTGGGGTTGGCTTAGGCGGGTTGCTGGTTGGGCTGGGCCTGAAGCTAGTCTCAGCCACGAGGCTGCGAAGCCATGGGTGGTGCTGGGCAGCTGGATTATGGTGTTGGTTGCGCCTGGAACTTCGGCTGGCTGGGCTGAGCTGTGCTTGGGCGGGTTGCTGGATGGGCTGAGGCTGGGTAGCGAGTTGCTGGCTAGACACGTAAGACACGCCAGCAGGCGGGCTGAGGGACTGGGCCTGAGGCTAGTCTCAGGCTGGCATACCTTGAGACCAGTCTCAGACTGCGCCGAAGGGGCCTGGTCAGCCTGGGCTGCTGAGTAGCTGGCATAGCTTGAGACCAGTCTCAGACACGTGAGACTGGTCGTTGGCCTGAGGCCAGTCTCAGACATGTTAGACAAACCTGACCTTGGCACACTGGGCTGAGCCTGCTGGTGGGCTGGGAGCTGGGGGCCGGTAGTGGCTGGCATGCCCTGAGATGCGCTGGGGCCTGGGCTGGGCGGGCTTTGGGCTGGGCCTGAAGCTAGTCTCAGCCACGAGGCTGCGGTTGCTGGCTGCCGGGCAGCCGGACCAGGCTGCTGGTTGTGCCTGGAACTTGGGCTGGGCGGGCTGGGCTGAGCTGTGCTTGGGCGGGTTGCTGGATGGGCAAGGCCTGTTTCATACACACTTGGGCCCGAGACTGGGTGGCGAGTTGGCTGGGCTGGGCCTGAGGCCAGTCTCAGGCTGGCGTACTTTGAGACGGGGCTGGGCCTGCTGGATGACTTGGAGGTCAAGGCCTGGCCAGCCTCAGACGGGCTTGGTGGCTGGCATAGCTTGAGACCAGTTTCAGACACGTGAGACTGGGTCGTTGGCGTTAGACAAACCTGACCTTGGGGCCGGCCTAGGGCCTGGGCTGGGCGCTGGGCTGGGCTTGCTGGATGACTTGGGGTAGGCCTGTTTCAGACAAGCTTGGGCCTGAGGCTGGGTGGGGCTGACAGGCCTGGCCAGCAGGCGGGTTGCTGGTTGGGCTGGGCCTGAGCCTAGTCTCAGACACGTCAGGCAGGCCTGGCCACCAGGAGGTCATGCTTTTCAGGACAAAAAAGCAATTTTTTAGTGATTTTCGCAATTGTCAGCACATTTTCGACAAAAATGGACCCATGGAGCTGGACGCCGACGAACCCCGAAAATTTCAAGGCCCGCCGGACAGGATTTTGGGTCCAGCCGACATGGGTTGGGGGGGGCGGCCCGGCAAAATTTTGGTCGGGGAGGGGGTTGGGGGAGGGGAAAAGCGAAGATTCTCTTTGGAGAAGAGATCTGAGCGCCCTTGGCCCCTTTGGGGCCGAGGCGAATTTGTGTTTTTTGTTTGGAATGTTTATGGTATAAATTGATTATGTTTTTTTTTTTTTTTTTTTTTTTTTCGAATTTTGAATTGTTTTTGGTGATTTAGTTGTTTTATGTTTTTGTATTTTTTTGTTTTTTTGATTGTTTTTTATGTTTTTATATTTTTTTGTGAGTTTTATTATTTATTATAATGTTTATATATATATATATTTTTTATTTTTTTTTTTTTTATAGGTTTTTATTTATATTTGTTTTTATTTTTTTTGTGTTTGTTTGTTATTTTTTATTGTATCTTTGTGTTTTATTTTTAAAAAAAAAATGATTTATTATTATTTATTTATTTGTTATTTTTATTTATATGTTGTTTTTTGTATATGTTTTTGTTTTTTAATAATTTTCTTTGTTTTTTTTTATTATTTCTTTTGTTTTTTTATTATTTTTTATTAATTTGTGTGTTTTTGTTTGTTTGGTATTTCTTTATTTCTTTTTGGGTTATTATTTATATAATTTTAATTTATTTTTTTATTATTGTTTTTTCTTATAATGTTTTAAATTATTTTTTATACATTTTATATTCTTGATTTTATATTATTCGAAATAATTTGAGTAATAATTATATTTTGGATTTTATTTAACTATATTAATATGTTTTTTATGTTTGTTTATGTTTTTGACAATATATTATAATGATTTGAAATATTTAAAGAATATGAATTAAATCGATTTAATGGGGGGTTTTGGAATATTTTTTATTAATTCTAATTCTTTTTGTAAATTGTAATTGGACACTTGGGTAGATTAAGATATCTTAATTATTCTAAATTGGTCGAACTTAATTTTAAATTAATTTTATATATAAATTTATAAAAAACAATTATAATTATAATTATATACTAATATATTTGTGTTAATTAAATTCGTTATTATTTTATTTAGTAATATAATTAAAATTACACGAATCTAAATTGATTTACCGATTTTTCAAATTTAAGTAAATATAAATATGTAACTATCGACCTAATATATATAATAAAAAATTCAGCTTTCAATAAAATATTAAATCATTAATTTTATAAATATATATATTATTATATTAAATAACACCTTAACTAAAAAATAATATTTAGACTATTATTTATTTCTTTTGTATAAATCTTTTTTTATTATAATTCTAATATATAATCGATAATAATTTAATCATTCCAAATCTTATATAAAATATTATAATTATAATATATTATTATTTCTTTAAGAATTTTATATATTTATATGTTTTAAATATATATATATTAATTATTCATTATATTAAAATAATATATATCTATTTAGATATCATTATTAACCATATAAATTATAAATTAAAAATATATTAAATATAAATAATCATTAATTTAATTCATAAAACCCACCCTCACTCCCCCACATCATCTATATCTTCGGCATAATACTAATAATACTAGAAATATTATACAAAATCCTATAAATCCCTAAAATTTTCGATATTTTCATCCCACAAAACCAATATCCCAACATCCTCATAATATCCCATACTTTACCAAACCACCCTCAATCCCTCCTTAACCAAAATCCTAAACCTAAATCAACCCAATAAACCAACCCTAAACCAACCCACCAAACCCAAACCACTCCAAACCACACCCCAACCACCCAAGCACCCAAACACCCAAGCACCCAAACACCCAAGCACCCAAACACCCAATTAAAATCGAGGTTTTATCAAATTAATTCTTTTTCCGTTTTTTTAAATAATTCCTAATAAATCATGTTAAATACAATATATATTACAAAACATAATTTTTATTTTTAAAATATTTTATTTTTTTATTATATATATTAATAACGATATTAAATATAAGAAACTATATTAAATATGTGTTTTCCTTTTTTATATATTAATTACATATATATTATAATATTAATCGAATCAATTATATATATTCAATATTACAATTTATTAAAATTAAAAGCTGCAATCAATATTCCATATTATTCACAATCTACTAAAAACCAATATATACATATAAATACATAATTAACAACCATTTCGCATCAATATCTTATCCTTCCATAATTTAAAAATTCCAAATAATCTATATAATATATCGATTATATAAATCGCCATAAACACATTTTTCGCAAAATATAATTCTATAATATCATTCAAAGCATATTAAATTTAACATTCGTTTAAATCATATAAATTAATTTTCTTGTCATTATTCCATATCTTTTATATATGTGTCTCATTCAACATTGTAATCATATTTATCGTTCAAATAGCTCCGCACCGCAGCTGAGAAAATCCCTGCGCAAGTTGGGTATCCACACTTCTGGCCAAAGATCCCTTTCAATTTTGAATATCATCACGAGTTTCTCTAGACTCTGTGTCAAGGACGCCCCAAATGAACCCAAATGAAGATCCTGATAGGCCTTAATAGGCTGTGTTGGGATTGGGAGGCTGCTTTTGGGTGCCTTTTAACGTGACTTGTGTGCCTGTGCATACTGGAAGGGGGCTAACATCGTACTTGGATGAACACTTGTAATCAGATCCTGGTAATAGGGCAAACAGTTGCTGCACCCATTTTTCCGCAAGGAGCCTGCCCCCAATTCTATGGTGGCCCAAATGGGGGCATCAACCACACTTGGGCGGTGGCCTACTTCTGCAAGCACCACCTTGAGCCAGCCGCAAGTCGCAGAAAGTGAGATCTTTGAAACTACCTGAGGTTCTGGAAGTTCCATCAATTTGCTTCTTTTGGGTGTCCCGAAACAAGGCAAGGATTTTAAGTTCAGGTGCCAAAGTTCAAAATAAGGGGGTGAAGCTAGTCTTGATCTCTTGCAATTGCTCACCTCACTCAAAAGGTGCATCGAGGAGAGCAAAGTTACTGGTCGCCTAGGGGAGTAACGGGGAGTGGCGATGCTTTTGCCCCAAGTCACATTTGGGTATACAGAGAGTTTGGACGAAGCCAAGCAACTATGTGTACTTTTGACTTCATTTTCGGCAAGCCAAAAATGGTCGGGCTTTTCACATTTAATACGCGTGGGTCCAAAAATGGTCGGGAAGCCCTGTAAGGACGCCTTGTTGGCGAGTGAGAAAGTGGGGAGCACTTGTGCTCAGTGCACGCATCCAACGAAAGAACAATTGTGAAACTGTGTCTGGCAAACGGGCGAATCTTGCTAAACATCTGCCCATTGTTCCAGCAAATTGCGCGGAAACACTACCCAAACACATGCAAAGAATAAAAACATGTTTTCTGGCCACAGAATACACACATTTACTGCACAAAATCTTACTTACTACACACCCAAATTACGACACACAATTTACTACACGCAAATTACTGCACAGCCAAAAATGTAATTTGGCCAAATTACTACACAAAAAATGTGTTGCAAAAACGCCCAAAACTACTACACAAAATTACTACACAAAATTACTACACGAAAATGATGTATTTTTGGATGTAGAAAAATTACTACACTTTGATCCTTCAGGCCGGTTGCAGGAGTGAGTTGTCCGCCTCACGAGTGTGCAGGATCCGTTGTTGGGAGCGGATCATCCTGCGACGGGATTCGTTTTGGGAGTGAGTTGTTCGCCCCGCAAGTCTGCAGTGTGAGCTTTTTGAGAGTGAAACGTCTTCCTTGCAAGTCGGCCAACCACATGAAGGAGCAAAATCACTGGCATCTAGGCCTCCTCGTCGTCCTTGCGCGCGCGCGCGTGCTCGAGTTCCACATCCTCCTGTGAGGCGAGGTGTGGGAGAAAAAAGTTCCAAGACCCTGGCCCGTCTGCTGCGGTGGTAAGGCAAGTAGGACTTGCAATCTTGCTGGCAGTGGCGAGCTGTGTTGGCAGCGATGGCCCGACCGGCCCCAGCTACTCTGGCGCATTGCAGCTTGCACCTCATTCATGTCCAAAGCCAAAGCGAACCAATGCTTCTCGAGTCCCAAACTCGATGAGCGTCCCAACATGCGGAAGCAAAGCCGATCAACGGCTTTGATTTGAAGTTAGGTATGTACCTATTGGTTCAAGACATGCTTGCGCCCGGCACCATGACCAAAGCTCCCTTTAAACTTTGAACCAGCCTGTTTCGGGGAGGAGGTCCCACTCCATAATTTTTTAGGCTGCCGCATGTTTCGCCGTTTCGCCAGGCGCACTGATCCAAAAGTGGCTTAAGGGAAGCCGCCGTGAGCGGGAAGCATTTCCAGGCACAATGTCACCCTGGGCGCAGTGCAAACGCATAGCACGCAGGTGGAAAAAATCGTGCCTTGACCGTTGCGCCATCCGGGTTGACAAGTGCCGTGGGAATTGCAGCTCTACGTGAGGCAGTAAATCACATTAGGTTTGTAGTGTGGGACGCCGAACTTTCAAGACCTTTGCTTCTTCGTGTCACACAACATGTCAATGCGCGTTCTCTTTTACACCTTCAGAGGCTCCTGCTGCATGCCGGTTGTTGCGGATTTTCATGGGTGGCGGCGCTTCTGCTCCATGGCATTTTGCTGCAGCTCCTGCTGCGCGGCGGCCTTCTGCGGGTTGTGCTGGTCCTGCTGCAGCTGCATCGCAGCGTTCTGCTGCGGCTCTTTGTTGGCCGGGTCTTCAAACATGAGGGCCTTGGGCTTGGGCTGGGCATTGATCATGCAGGCGGAGCTGCTTGATGAGGAGAGCTCGCTGCTGGAGGCTGGCAGGGCAACTGCGTTCTCGATGGTGGCAAGTCCCACCGCGCCCGTCAAGCTTTCTTATCACGTCCTGCAGCGTCTCCATGTTCGCCCGCCTGCCACACACAAAGAACCGTGCGCGGGGTCATGAATTAAGGCCAAGCGAATGCAACGTTGCAACGCACCTTGCCTATGCTGACCGCTGACCGCTGCAATGACCACACATGCAATCTTGTCGGCGGCGTTCGTGGAGATGAGGCGGTTCATGATGGTCAAGCTGTTTGGCGTAATGTTGGGCTCCCAGAGTGCCGGAGTTGCCTGAATGCCAGCAGGTCCTCCGGCTCCAACTGTGGCCAGAGCAGCACCTCCCGGACTAACCATGCCAGCGGCCGTAGCTCTGGCGATCATGGGAGCTTGCACTGCCAACATAGCGTCAGCCAGACTGAAGTCCAGGTTGCGCAATCGCTCGTCAGCGTTCGAGCCATCCACATTCAGCCTGTGCCTGATGAAGCTCTGCACAACGTTCAATGCGATGAGAGATTCCTGATACGGCGCACTGTTCGCTGCAGTGCCTCGCAGCGTTCCCTCCATGATGGCCATGCCATCGTTAGCAATGCCCAGACCTTGCAATCCTCATCACAAACGGGATTGCAGTTCCTGGCCCGCTCACAATGAACAAGGGAGTGAAGGCCTTCGGGATGGCAACAACTGGCATCCTTGCGAAGATGCCATTTGCCACTGCATGAGCCGCAGCCTTGGGAGCCAGAATCAGAGGTGGAGCAGCCATAGCAACTCAATTGATGCGGATTTATTTCGGGTTTTCTTTTTCCCCGCCCGACAGGAAGGGGTTGTTGGATTTTATGTTGGAATCTTTGCGATTCTTCTACACCACGCCCCCACCCAGTATCCCGCCAGAGCTGCTCGTCAGTGGATCCCGCCGAGTGTGCCGCCAGAGCAGCTCACCAGTGGATCCTGCCGAGTATCCCGCCAGTAGGTCCCGCCGAGTATCCCGCCAGAGCTGCTCGCCAGTGGATCGCCGAGTATCCCGCCAGAACGGCTCGCAGTGAATCCCGCCGAGTATCTTGCCAGAGCGGCCGAGTATCCCGGATCCCGCCGAGTATCCCGCCAGAGCAGCTGGCCAGTGGATCCCGCCCAGTATCCCGCCAGAGCTGCTCGCCAGTATCCCGCCAGAGCTGCTCGCCAGTGGATCCCGCCGAGTGGCTCGCCAATAAAGCTCGCCAGAAATTATTCGCCAGTGGATCCGGCCAGTATCCCGCCAGTCTGGTTTTGCTTAATGTCCCGCCCGGCGCACAGCTGGGTTTACATTTCATGTTGGTGCCTTCGTGTTTTGAGTGTGCCCTGAGGCTCGGAAAGGGTGATGCTGTTGTGTTGCTTTGGGTTGTGAATACGCAACTTCGTTTAATCCCCCGTCGGGTTTCTTTTTGGAAGGGGCTTGGCTTTTGATAACGGAACCGATGTTTGAGTCCTCGAGATCGGCTCCCAGACAAGTGGAGTTTGACACACAGACAGGTGGATAAGGCTCGCCATTCTTGCGCGGCAAAATATCATTGGGAAGGGGCCGATGGGAATTTGGAGTCGAAGTCTCTAGGGATGCGGAGGAATTTGTTATAACGGCCATATGCTCATGAGTGTGGAGGGTGGGGATTGCTCGAAGCGAAGTAATTTCCAGTTTTTCTTCTTTTTTTGCTTTCGTTTTTCGTCCGGGCCAGACACATGTCGTATTTTACAGCATTTTCTCGCAAAATTGACGTATTTACACTATCCCGTCAACATCCCCAGCAGCGTTTTCAACATCCCCGGCATGTCCGACCAACATCCCCAGCATCACACAGCATCACCAACAAATCGTGGGTAACAAATCTAAAAAGTTGGCGGGTTAACGGGGTCGAAAACATGATGATTCATATAGGAGGGCATTTGAATCCTTGAAAAAACAAAAAACAACTAAAAAGCAGCGGGAGGGTTGGTGGGAGTGGCCTCCCCTATGATGTCCGAAGAAGTGCATACAATGTCGTATTTTATAGCATTTTCTGGCGAAATTGGATGATGATTCAATTAGGGGTGCAATTAAATCTGTGCAAGAAATCTAAAAAGTAGGGAGGGGGGGTGTTGGGGGGGGGAGGTGGCACCCCCCCATGATGTTTGAGAAATTGATGATTCAAATAGGGGTGCTCTGCGATCAATCTAAAAGTAGCGGGAAGGTGGGGGGGTGTTGGGGTGGGGATCCCTCCATGTTCGAAGAAGTGATGATTCAAATCGGGAGGAGCTGCTGATGCTGAGGATGCGGGAAGCCAAAGCCAAAAACCAATGAAAGGGTGCAAAAGCCAAAAAGCCCGGAGAGGAACTGGGAAAGCAGATGCGAGCCAAAGAACTGGGAATGCAGAGGATGCGAAAACCAAAGCCCGCCACCAAAGCCGCATAAACCAACAAGAAGCCGAAAAGCCACGAAGCCGAAAAGCTAGCCAAGAAGCCGAAAAGCCAAGAAGCCAAAAGGGGGGGGAAAAACTCCTAAAATAAAATACCCCTCCCAACTCAAATTGCAGACAGTGTGAAGGTACGCAAGGCAGCTGGCCTTGAGCCGAAGGTCCAGTGACCATCTTGTGGTGAAGCTAGGGATTCCCTCAAAGAAAACTGCAAGGGATGGTTCAGTTTGGGGGCATTCCTTTCCTGCGAACCGGCGCGGGGGTTGGGGTTCCCCAACTCCATTTCTCTAGTCTTCCCACAAAATGGGACAATTCCATACATAGACTAGGTCCTCCAGCGGAGAGGTTAGAATAAGGGTACCCTTTTTTCTGTAGTCTATTTTAGTAGGGGAACCCTCCCAACCAAAAAGGTTGGCAATCTTAGGGGGCGGGGATGCTCGCCGTTCGCCTGGAGCCGACGCAGCCCCCAAGCTCGTGCTCCGACGGCAGCCGCACCGAAGGTTTGGAACTCTCCGCGGCCTGAGCACCGAGAAGGCTGGGGACGGTAGGGGATGCCTCAAACATACCGGGGATGCCCAAAATGGCGGCTTCCCTTTCGGCTTCCTTTTAAAAACAAACCAAGGCGGAAAGGGGTACCCTTGGAAAAGAAGAAGAAGAACCCACTTTTGTGAAGGGCGGGCGTCCCCACCACAAGGGTCCTTTGTGTCGTCACAGGATCCGCAATTTGGGGGCCCTTGACAAACATACTGTGAATAAACATCCTGCACCAGTTGGTAGATGGTTCATCCCAGTATTCTCAGGGTTTCATTTCATCCATCAACTGGTGCAGACTCTTGTCCAAGTACGCCTGTTGTTCAGAGCAGATTAGCCAAGGGTCCTCCAATGCTTGTTTCTCAACCAAAGCATACTCTACACCTTTGAGGGCGTTCTCAGATTAAGACGAGTCATCCTTGAAGACTGGTGTCGAAGGGGTCTACTGCAATAAAGAGCGTAGATAAACATTTTTAGCCGGGGTTATGGGGTCTGAAAATGAAAACACACTCAATATCATAAGTGAAGCATGTGTTTGTGTGTCTATTTGGTTTCTTCCGCCTTTTAAGTTACCCAAACTTGCCGCTCTGTTTTGGGGGCAAATGGTTTTGATGGCTGCCACAAAAGAGAAGGACTAGCAATTGAGTACGTAGTGCCCAAACCTATTGACTCTTGGTTATACTAACCTAGGTAAGATTGTACAGGGGTTAGTATATCATTACTACTAAACCAGGTACCACCTGCTAGAAATGGGCCTTTTGAGGTTTGGGCGCTGGGACCTTGACTGAATATCCCTGAGTAGATTGGCCCACAATTTGTTTGCTGGCGAGACCCCTGTGCAAAAAGTATTTCACTTGTTGTGGGTCCAATGGAAAGAACATCCGACCTGTTTCAACCAAAAAGTTAAAGTTCATTATCCAGCCAAGCAGCCACAAAAATTCCGCTCCAACCTAGTTGGTGGCTTGGATTGGTGGTTTGGTATGTTTGGTGGTCAGGGTGCAGGCTTTACCCTTTTTTTGGGGGTCCAATTCGGAAAGTCCCAACTGTTTCAACCAACACTCGGTTGCTTTCTGCTCCCCTGCTAAAAGTGACTAACTTTTAGTGGTTTAACGGAAGACCCACTAGTTGGCAAAAAGTCAAAGTCCTAACATCCCTTGACAAAATGCACCTCTTGTTACCTACCACCCCCCCAATTTGAGCGATTTGTCCTCGGTTTTCCCGTGGAAAATGCGCCAAAGAACGCGTTTAAGCCGCACGGATTCCTCGCCGCCTTCCACAGCCGAGGCACTGGACACGAGGGGCCGTCTGCCTCAAGGGCGCGCAGCCGGTGGTGGAAGGTCCCAGAGATGTACCTGGGATGCGGCCCAGATACCTCCTGAGTGGCTTGGCCCTAAGACACAAAATCTTGCACCACCCAACCTGGGGTTGTCTAAACTGATCCCCTGCTAAAAATGACTAAGTTGTGGGTTAAATGGACACCCAACTACTGAAGCAACGAAACACCTACAAACCTAAAACACTTGTAGGTGGGGGTTCTCCCCCGACACTAAACCCAGGGACACCCCCCTATCAATAGGACGGGTAGCTTCATGCGGGCTCGACGTTCAGATTGGGATTCCCAGTATGGAGTCCAGGAACTTGGGAAGTGAGCTGTGAACTAGAACCTTTCTGGGGGCTCGGTGCTTCTCATGTGTCTCCTGTGCTTGGTATATATCAAAAAGAGCGGGGGAGGTACGAGTTCGGGAATGAGCTGGAACGACCCCAAACGGAACCATCCCTTGGTTGCTTTCTGTAAGGGGATATCACACTGTTCAATCAGAAGAGGACATCGTTGTTCCCAAGGTCATTTCAGAACCATGCTTAATAGTGTTGGCCAACGGGGATGCTCATTTGGCTTGTTAAAAGTTGACCTCCACACATTTGGGAAGAGGGGCTCCATTCATCATGGGCCGTGTCTTGGTTAGCCTTCAGCGCACTTTTGCACAAATGCCACGAGTCACACAGTCACACATGGGTAACAGGGATCAAGACGGCGTGTATGCTGCAATAATGCCTCTTGTTCATAGGCCAACACACATTAAACTGAAAATTATTCTTTTTCTATTCAAATTTGAGAAACACCATCATTTCGTGGGGGGGGGCTCCGGGGGCTGGGCTAACACTAAACCTGAGGTCTAGAAAAGTAAGAATTGCTCTGCCTCTTTTGGTGCCCCCTCCCCGGTCCAAGACCCAGTCCAACTTGCCTCATTTGCTGTTTGGTTTGTGGCAACTTATCTGAAAGCCAGACAAGGGCTGACCATATGCGCAGGCGGATTGCAAGCCCCAAAATTATGCGCGGTTCCCCTCTGAAACGGGCACCCCAAAATTCAGTCACCAGGGATTTCGGTTTTCCGATCCCAACATGTTGCGAACCCGCCCTTGGGCGGCCGCGTGTAGAGCCAGGTGTCCATGGGGGCCAGAACTCGCAGCCTGCGCGAAGACACCTGGTCCCCTACACATTAACATGGAACCAAAAAGGGGATACCCGCAAAATAGTCTCCTCTAAAAACTGACGCTTCTTAAGGCTCCGAGTTTGTTGGTCTGCACAGTATGTTCAAAGCGAAGAACGCACATGGTCAAACCCATCAGTTCTCAACGCTTGCTGGCAATCAGGCCATGGTTGATGCTCACGCAATCTTTGCGCACATGGGAGCTGTGTGCATCTGTCGGCCCCTTGCGTCTCTTTGGGGTGCCCCAACGGTATAAATCGACAACTTTCACCTCATGGCGAGCTCGTTCATTTCCCTCGGATGCCTCAGGCCAGCGCACCGAACTTGGCGCATTGGTCTGAATCTTGGGGCTTCCTGGTGGACATGATGTACATTGGGAACTTTTGTGCCACCAGTGGCGAGGGGGGAAATCCAAAAGACTGGCAAACAGTCTAGGTTCCCTAGTTTTTGCCAACTTCTGTAGATGCCAACTTCTGTAGGCTTTGAAAACTGGGTTCCCTAGCTTGATGAATTCCAGCGACAAAAACTGACAACTACATTTGAGGAATCCTCCGGTTCCCTTCAGCACGGCCAAGCGCCACTCCCTCTAGGTGAGACTGTCATGCTTTGTGCGGGTGGAAAATCATAGCCATATGGGCGTTATTTTTTTGAACACTCTTCGTTTTGGTCCTCTATTTTGACACATGCATACACATATTGTCTGAACCGCCCGTTACGCTGTACCAGAGCAGGGAAGGCTAATCGAGTTGTCGATTTGACCCAGGCCTCCGGGTGTAGCTTATCGAAACGTGGATGAATCTCCTTTAAACAATGGTACTTGATCTAGATCAGCTCACAAGCTTGGCTCGGATTGCTGACGCCTCATCCATCTCCGGAAAAGGATTCCTTTCCCTTTGAACTGTTCTTGGTCCGCTTTGTCATTTCTCAGCTTGGGCTTTATCAAGATCTGCGTCCACAGCTGGCATTAGATCTGGGTGAGGTCTGCCCCCCCAAAGACACCACTTGGGCGAGTACGCCTTTATGTCTGCACCCTTGTCAGCCTTGAACCGTTTTGAATCTTGACGATTCACCTGTTCACCGGCATGTTGCACGAACGTGGCCTTACATGCAGACACCTTGTTAATTTTATGTCTGCACCCTTGTTGTTCAGCAAGAACGTGCCCTTACATGGCCGTTTTCCCCCAAAAACATGGAGACCAAAATAGCAGCTTGGTAAGTGCCACCGAAGCCTAAAACCCCGCGTAACCCTGGCTCTTTAAATAGCCACACCCATGTATGTTGGGAGGAGGAGGATGCCAGGGACACCTGGAAAGATGGATGATCCAACCCCGAAACACATGGTTTTCAAAAGAAGCTGCAGACCAAAACACCCCCTGGCTCCCTTGGTCTGTTCCCTGAACCTACAAAAGGTTCGTTGGGGTTATTGCATTTCACTTGGTGGGTTTAACATCGCGTTTTGGCCAATTTATGGTGAGTTTCCAACTTGGTAGTGATGTGTTGGCTGCACATATACAAAAAACAAAAACAACAAAACATACTTCGCCCGCCCCCCCCCCCCCCGCTTTCGCTTTCCGCTGGCCCCCGCGGCCCCCCGGGCTTTCGATTTTCGCCGGGCTCCCGGACGCGTTTTGGATCTGCTGCAGCTCCTCGGGGCCTCGGATCTGCGCGCGAAGCGCCACGGGCGAGGGCGAGGGGTTTTCGTCTCCAATCAGAGGGCCATGGGTCAAAATCTCGCTGATCCCAGACATCCGATTCAATCCCCACCAAAATGGACCAACATGGGTGCACCTACCCCAAAATGGTACCATTGGTTTTGACCCACAGCCACATGGGAACCCGCAAAAATACCGGTGGGATTCCCACCTGTCAGAAACCCATCTGATTTCCTTATGTGTGAGACAAAGCCCAGATGATTTCCTCTGGGAAATCCAGACATCGCACCGTTCAGAAACCCTGGGATCATGAATGCCCTGTAAAAAACTAACAAACAATGGTTCCAACCGTAGCGGACCCCGTGCGGAAGGTTGCACAAACTCAGGGGACGCGAATTCTCGCCACGTGGAACGTCTCATGGGATTCGCTGGGAGCCACTGAGAGTGGTAGGCAGATCTGAAGATGTCTCGGGGCCACACGGATGTGAACGAGGAAGGACGTGGGCAAGACTCAAGTAATGCACTTGTGAGATTCAGCGACCGAGTTGTTCGACGTTGCTTGCGGGCAAATGTCCTGCGCTGAACGCCCAAGGACCTCAAGACCGACTTTGTCCCCAGATTTGTGATCTCCTTCGTAAGTTGGCGCAGGGAGACATCTGTCGTAATTTTGGGGAAGTCCCCCTCTGCTTCTTTAAACAGAAGCCACCAGGAAGCCACCTAAGCCACAAGGAAGCCACGTATTTACTGTGGATGGTGGCGAAATCCGTTTGCACCTGCCGTCAGTCAACTGTCGCTACTTGTTTGCCTCGGCCTGCTCTAAACCCGGGCCTGGCGCACCTGCCAAACGCCTCCTCAATGCCCTTGGCCCCTTCTTATGCCTCCTCAATGCCTCCTCAATGCCAACTCGCGATGCGATGCGAGGACGCGCCTTCTTCACCCTTCTTATCCCTTCCTGGAGCCTTTTCCTCCGCCAGGCCCTTCAGAGTAGACATGTTCAATCCCGATTTGACAGATCCCCAAAACTCTCCCGCGAGGGCGCGGCTCGCCACCCACAACCGGTGATGGTTGTTCGGACCCCAAATGTGTTGGGGGGAGACATCGTAGTCCGGGTTCGCGCTATACGCCACCCCCGCCCGCGCCAACTCGTGTTACCTCCTCTAGAGCAATCAGCCCCTAAGGGCTTGCCGCCTGCGCCAAAATTTGTAACTCCTCTTGCGCCTTTCGCTTTAAGCGATCTCGCTCTCGATGCGTCTGGCCGGTGACTCGTCCGCGGCGACCAACACTCAGGACCCTTGATGCCGCCCCGAAGCAGTCCGTCAAGTGATGGCAGGTTTATCAAGGTGCCACCTCACGTTTCCTCCCGGCTTTCTCCAGGTCCCACCAAGCGATATGGCAAGGGCAAACCATTTCCACAGTGACTTGAGCCGCAACCACACAGCCACCTAAGTGCAAAGGCCTACGCAAGCCACTGTAAAGTGTGAACTGTTTTATGTTTGGTTCCTTTCAAGTTTGACATGTTAGTTCTGGTTGACTTTCATGGCAACTGGAAGCACTGCGAAGGCACACAGAATCCGGCTGGGATGGATGAAACCCCCTATTAACTGGCGCAACAGATTTGGTCCATCCACAGTTGGGTTCCAGAAAACTTGTGTAAGTTGGACAGGAGAGATGGTTGCTTGGCCACACCGAGGCTCCCACAAAGTGACCTTTACGTGGGACATAAAGGACACCCAAAAAGTGAGTTACCCTACCACCAACTAACATGGAACCTGACAGGGGTCCCTTGAAAAGGAGAATGGTCTTCCAGGAAACGCCTGTCAGGTTCCATGTTAATTGGTGAATTGGTGGGAGGGTAAGTCTGGCAATGGTCGAAGGCTCCTTTTGCATCACTCACTCGGTTGTTCAGTGACCCTGGAAAAAAAGGGAACCCTTGTTTGAGAACACCATTCTTAGTGGGGCAGCCACCAAAAAGGGGAAAAGGGTGCCACTGAACAACTGAGCTCAAGGTAATGGCATTTAACCTGCAACAACCCCTTCGGAGCCAACCTGAGGCGCACCCACAAAGGTGCGCCAGATAGCCCGACACGACAAGGATGGAATTTGTGGTTTGCCTGGCCGATGTTTTGAAACTGCCTTGCTTTGGGGTGCTCGTTGCTTCGTATATGCCAAGGGTTCCAGGAATTTGGTGGTACCCAACCAACACGCATAGGGGCATCCAACAATGCTAAGTAGCATGTCTTGGGAAAAAAAAAAACTGTGGTCGTTGCCAATTTAACATGCAACTCAAAGAGCAAAGCTTCCCCTTCTTACTTGCGCGGCCAACTTCCATGTTCTTTTTACCAGGGGAATAGGACACAACATGGCCCAACATAATCCGAGTTTGTCTAGAAAGAAATCTCCTGGACACGTGAATGTGTTTGCGGGTGCAATCTCAGAGTGCAATAGAACCAGCTGTAAAACAAACATCCTCTTCGGCGAATGGAAAAGGCTGTTGCGGCAGCTCCCTGGTAACCTTCCCCTCTTTGGGTGACCCTTTCTAAAACGGCTCTAACAAAAGTCTAGGATGCTACAACCACATGATTGTCCTCTGCTGCGCGCTGGAACCGACTTATTAAAACCCGACTAACCCCCCTATGGACATGCTCGCCATGAGCGTCCAGGGCCGCCGGCTCTGACGCTGGGCCGAGCCCACGTTCAGCTGGCGCATCTGGCGTCGAGTTTGGGGCAAAATCGCTCAAAGCAAAGAAAATACGGTTTTCAAGGGAAACCAAAAGGAAACTAACCTTCGGGGGTCTCCAAAGTATTAGGGAAACAACTGTTCATTTGGAAGCCTCTTGTTCTACACACAAAATCGTGTTAGGGAACAACAGGCCCCAATGACTTCTCTGTCACTTAGGGGAAGTCCTGTGGCCACCCCAAAAAACGCCACAAAACAAAACAAAAAACACATCCCGTGATTTTCTCTGGCACAGCAAGGCTCGACACGAGTGAGCCTGAACACTTCCACGGAAGGACAGTCTCTGGATATACAAGTTGGAGTTAGTGAAATGCGCAAACAGCATTGGTAGGTTCCAATGAGTGAAACTACATGGTGGTTTGGTTTGGTGGCTTGGTGGCTATGGGTGGTTTCCCATTTTTACACCCTACAAGCGGTCTCAAATCCTCCCCCACCAATCCAACCCGCCAAGTAAGGATAACCTGATTTTAACATGTTTCAACAAAGGGTCCTCTTATGAGGGTACCCCCTTTTTGTGGTTGTTTAAGGAAAACCAACCGAAATACTGATCCATTTTGGGTCCAAGTTCAAAAAGAAAAGACACTGCCCTAAACCTTGCCACTCTTCCTGTTTTGCGTCTTTGGTTGGACATCAATCGGACAATATTCTTGTTGGTTTTGTACTTTAGAGCCTCCGGCTCATTCCGTGGTGCGCTCGGCGCCCCGAACCCCATACGAACGACACCCCGCCGGACAACCCCCAGAAAGACCATTGAAAACTGACAAAGGAAGCCCGAACCCAACTACGCTTGCGCGCAGAACCCAAGAAACCCCACGCAAAACGCGCACCTCACCCGCCGTGCCCTCGCCGAACAGAACAACCGCGAGAAAAGCTACAAAACCCACGCAAAAACGCACACGTCACCCACTACGCCGGCACCCCAAACACCACTAGAAAACGGAAAAGGAAGCTCGAACCTAAGCGCGCAGAACCCCGAGAAAGCCAAGAGAGAGCCCGGAGAAAAGCTACAGCCAGAACACAAAAACACGCACCTCACCAACCACGCCAGCACAATCCCTCAAAAAGCGAGGAACCCCACGCAAAACGCACGCGGCAGAACCGCGAGAAAACCCAAAGAGATTCCAGAGAGAAGCTGCAGCCCCCACGCAAAAACATGCACCTCACCGACCACGCCCGCGCCCAAGAGCACAATTTTCGAAAAGCCACAAGCCCTACAAAAAAAAAGAGCACACTTCACACACCATGCCGGCGCCCCAAAGATCAGTGAAAAAAGAAAAATAAAGCCCAAACCTAAGCGCACGGAAGCCCTAGAAAACCCAGAGACACCAGTGGTGCCAGCGCCAAGCCTGAGCCTGGTTACAAAATCGCCACGCACTACCTGCCGTCCCCCCCCCCCCAGTCGTGGGCGCGCCCCCTGCCTGGGGGATTAGGGGGAAGCTTCCAACCACACCGAACATGTGCACAACTACAGTTGGAAACTCACCATAAATTGGCCAAAACGCAATGTAAAACCCACCAAGTGAAACGTAGGCTTTTGTAGGTTCAGGGAACAGGGGAGCCCAGCTGGTGGTCTTGTCTTCCTTTTGGTTTCTCTGTCAAACCCATCCAAGGAAAGGTTCTTGCGGCTCCTACTGGAAACCATGTGTTTCGGGGTTCGAACATCCATATTTCCAAGAGGGCCGGATCACATGGAACCGGATCCAAAAAGAGGGGTTCGACAAATAGACTCGATGTGTCCTTGGCATCCTCCTCCCCCTCTCAACACACATGGAGCCGGAAAGGGACCTCTGGTTTGGAATGCTCCTCGAACAGGGTCGAACCGCTTTCCGCTTGCACCGCTTTTCTTGTTATAAGCCAAGCACATGTCACGTACCAGAGGTAGACCTGTAAGAGAGCGAGAGAGAGAGAGAGAGAGTGCTTCTCAAAACTGGGACCACTTTTGCTTGCAACGGCATCTAAGAACCAAAAGGACACCAACCCCATTTCGGACCACAATTTTTGAGAACCCCCCCCAACAAAAACATGGGAATTCATCCCCATTAAGTGGGACATATCAGCGCTTTGGTGGTTTTCGATCCAATGGTCATCCCATGTAAAGAACCTGTTGATCAACCCCCACATGAATCAAGCTTCACAACTTGTTTCTTGGTTCGCCTGAGGAATCCTCGGCCAGCGCAGTGCCACTTTGAGCCTCGGGAAAAATTCGGAGTCGAATCTGCAGGTAGCTTCACCCCTGGGGTTCAGTTGCCACCATTAAAACAACGGGGCTGATACAACCACCATTGTCTACCTGGGGATTTGTCATCAGCTAGATTGGGTCCTGGCCATTCTTTTAATGGGGGTTGAACCCTACGATCCCCTAATGCACGGACGTAACCAAAGACCCCAAAGGAGATCCTACTGGGTAGCTTTCGGAGGAACCAGAATCAAGTTGTCACTTTGCCGTGCAACCTGGACTGCTATGCTCCGAGTACCTTGGCAATGCTTGACAACAGGGGTAAAATGGTCCTTGGCTCATGGGTCTTCATCTGCGCATCCATTCGGTGGATTTCCCAAACAGGCCAAGTATGGTACCTGCTGGAATCCGTGCTCTTTACTCACAGCGGACCCCCACAAAAAAAAACCTGAACCTGAACATAAGCCCAACTCGGGGTTGAATGTGGCTTCCCCCCCCCGCCTTCTTCCCATGCACTCCTTCGCATGCACACCCTCAAGGTACATGGTACATCCTAGTTGAATCAAGACAAAGCAGAGTTGCCATTTAGAGGCCATGTGGGTGGACGGAATCCACCAGGTTTGTTCCTGGTCCATCCACAACACTAAGGGGTACTTGTGACGTTCTCAATATGTCAGGCTCGTCATTCCATTGGCGTTGAGAAACTTTTTCCGATCAAAACCCAACATGGAAGCGTCAAGGGAGGGTTTGTTTTTCAACAAATTCACCTTTGTGAAGCATCGGCCAAGCAGCCCTCTTTGGACACCTGTTTCGGTGTCATGTTGTTGCCGCCTTCAAAGGGTGTCTTTGTCCCTCAGCTGCTGCCGCTTGCTACACATGACATGTTTAGATTCTCGTCCCTAGCGAACCTTTAGCAGAACCTTTCCGCTGGGTTGGGGGAGATGTTCTCTCCAGGCTTAAACCTCAGAATGTCAAAAGAGTCTTGGGCTCGGCCACTTTTGTCTCTCAGTTGGGGTTTACGCCGAAACTGCGAATTCGGGCGTATGTACTACAGCTGTTTAACCTTTTAATACCTTTTATGAACAAAACAGTCAATACAAAATGACGAGGCCAGTACTGCACAAGGGATGTCTTAAACTGGGGGGAACCTCCTTCACCTTTTATGGCCAAAATTGGCCAACCAGAAACCAAGGAACCAAGGCGTACTACAGTTGTTAAACCGTTTTCTGGTCTTTTGGCCCACCAAACGCGGACGTCCCTTTTGGACCAAACGCGAATCGCGGACGCCCCGACGTCTGTGCCAGGCTGCAAGCGCATGGAGCCCTCCAGGTCCTCCGCGGAAACTTCGGGGAGTTGGGCTGGCCGCTGGCCGGGTCGTTTTTTGGTTTTATCATTACAAATATTGTTCAGGAGGTTTTTTGTTTGATTCTTGTTTCACTTCAGGAGCCGGAGAGGGGGGGGCGGAGAAAAAATAAGTTGCCTTGTTCTGTGTGTTCGCAGGAAAGACCAGACATCTAGTCGTTCCGTCACGACCCGATGTGCACTTGCTCGGGGGCCTTCTACATAGCAATGCCAAACACATACTTTAGCAGCCTTTTTCGTTGAAAACAGGAACGAACAAGGGAACACATGCAAATTCAAGGGTGTCCTCAACGGAACCAAGAACCATTCTTTACCCGGCCATTGTCCATCAAACACAAAAAAAACGTAGGCCACTTCCATCAATTTAGCAAATGGCCCCCTTGGCTTGTGGGGTCGGGGGGAAAGGACCGCACTGAAAGGGTCGAACCCTTCAAGCTGTCCCTTCCAGATGCACGGAAAACAGGGTGTCCCATACTGTGGATGGACGAATTCCTGCACCACTTTGAAACCATGTGAAACCATCATTTGTTGGTATTTACAGGGGAATCATGAGTCCAGGGTTTCTTAGGTTGTGCAGAATTTCGTCCATCCTCAGTATGTCCAACCTGAGGAGACTACCAAAAAACACAGCTTAAGCCAAAGTGGCAACCGACGAGTACCACTATATAACATGGGATCCCCAAACAAGTCCCTTTACTCCGGGTGCAAGATGTGAACACACATCCATGTGTGGTTTCCGTAGGAAGACAAGCAGCAAACAAAAATAGGAATAAAAGAAAGGAAACACAAACAGGAACAACAAGCAGGAAGCACACATAGGACAAACAAAAGGAAAACACACATCCGCGGCAAAACAACAGGAACTAGCAAAAAGAACAACCGAAAACATTCAGAAAAGAAACAACCACAAAACAAACACAACTATGCAAACAAGCAGGAACCATTGGAACTGAAGCCGGAAAAATACAACAGACAACAAACAGCATGGCAAGCCAAAAAGGAAATGCGCAGAAGAAGTTAAAGGGACACCAAAGCTTTGAAGACTTGAAGGGGCCCAAAATGGCTTCTGAAAAGGAGATCGAGAGTAAAGAACAAAAACCGGGACACACCAAAAGGAAGGCAAAAAGAAACCCAGTGAAACCAAAGGCTCACTTCCTGAGTGGATTGCGCAAGACTCCCTCGTCCAGAATCTTCTTCTTTAGCCACGAAAATGGTCCACAAGTCCAAAAAGTGACGAGCCAAGTCCGGAAAAAAAATATGCAACTCAGGGAGTGAGAAGGAACGTCGAAAAGGAGCGAACCCATCTTGGCCACCAATCCTCATCGATGACCCTTGAGAGGCCTCCAGCAAGCCCGCGAACGTGAGGCGATGGAAGTTCTGGACCGCCTCAATCGGCGTGGACCCAAAATGGGTGGTTCGGCTCCCTTTGGGTTTCCCGTTGAACTGGCTTGAAGTCTCCCCTTCCGGCCCTATAAAGAATCAAAGGCGTTTTTGAAAGAGACCTTGACAAGGGAAGTGCCCTGGAATTAGTTGGGTTGCAGAGCCCTCGTTGTAAGACATTCCAAATGCGTTGTTCTCTTCCCTTCCGGCGGAATGTGCAATACAAAACACGGGTCCCTTCGTACTTTTGCCCCCTAAACTTCACCCAACCAGAAGGAAACAATAGTGAAATTGGCAAAACACTGGTGGTGTTTCCAACAGTCAAACGGGGGAAGCTGGAGCTTGGGAATCCTACGAAATGCCACGGTCGCTTGGCAGGCGCAAGACGCGCCGCCCGTGGACTTCCCAGCAAGCATCAGCCAAAAGGTCCCTGTAAAACTCGTCGAACAAATCCAGTCCACTTGGGAAGTGAACTACTCAAACCAAGGAAGCCAACACGCTCTCTTTCAAGGGAAGCAGCAACAAATGCCAACATTTCGCCAATCCCGAGTTCATGGCTGGTAAGTGGAAAAAAAAACAAGTGCAGAAAGGGTAGCTCTAAAGTGATAAATTACTTGAGTGTCTCTGAACGCGGCGTTTACGACGCGTTTACGACGCCTTTTCGCTTGGAGCTGTGCCTTTGGGGCCAACCGCGGGTCCGACCTGCTTGCTCTGGTGGCCATGGGACGGGGAGCTTTTTGTCTGACGCTATGGCAATCAAACCCCATCAAACACGACTAGAGACGAAGTAAGTCCATGAACTCAGGGAGGCTCCGGAACTTGTATACTCCTTGGGCTCATTGCTTGAATCCCAACTCAAACAGATGGGTGGCTCGTCTTCCTTTGGGTTCTCCTCAAAAACACAAGCAGAAAGGGGGAGCCTCAAACAAAGACACACCCAAGTGAGCACATGGGCACCAGCTAACAACTAGTAAAGGGGATGTATGAACAAAACCCTAACGGAGGGTGAGAGAGGGAGGGTGTCTTTGTTGAGGGTAAGTCTAATTTTCCACCCGACGGCCGCTTTTGTCGCCTGGTTTTGTCTTCGCTTTGAGGCGAGCAGCCCAGAATTGCCATTTGGGGTATGTGACTGTCAAACAGAAGGGGGCCAGATGGTGGCCATCCTTTTCCCTTTGACACCAAGGTGAGCCACGGAAAGGAACTAAACATGGCAACCAAACGTTTAAAAACATGTACCCAGCCTGCCAAAAAAATCGCAAAAAACAAAACACAAAAACACAACAAACAAACAAACAAACAAACAAACAAACAAACCAACCACCAACCAACCAACCAACCAACCAACCAACCAACAAACCAACAAACCAACAAACCAACAAACCAACAAACCAACCAACCAACCAACCAACCAACCAACCAACCAACCAACCAACCAACCAACCAACCAACCAACCAACCAACCAACCAACCAACCAACAAACCAACAAGCCAACAAGCCAACAAACCAACAAACCAACAACAAAACAAACAAACAAACAAACAAACAAACAAACAAACAAACAACCAACCAACCAACCAACCAACCAACCAACCAACCAACCAACCAACCAACCAACCAACCAACCAACAAACCAACAAGCCAACAAGCCAACAAGCCAACAAACCAACAAACCAACAACAAAACAAACAAACAAACAAACAAACAAACAAACAAACAAACAAACAAACAAACCAACCAACCAACAAACAAACAAACAAACAAACAAACCCACAAACAAGCAAAGAAACAAACAAAAACAACACCCAGGGGTCCGGATGCAGAGCTTCCCCGCCCGCTGCAGCGCTGCGGTGCGGTTCCTCGGTTTACAGCAGAAGGTCAGGGCTCTGGTTGTTGTGGGCTCAAAGGCTATGGGCTCAACCCATTTCTGTGGCGCAACCAATTTGTGGACGAAAATCTTCCTGTCGGTCTGCTTCCATGATCGCAGAGGCAGTGGTCGACACGCACCCCAGAGTCGCTTGAATTCTCGCCCATGTAGCCTTTTCGCACCGAAGCCACGCTCCGTGAGAGCGCAAACGAATCAACTGTTTGATTGGCAGATGCCATGGCCGGGAATCCAGTTTCGACAGCTTCGCCCCCTCCAAGGCGGTTTTTCGGTTTTTCCCGAATCCATTGGCGGGTTGACCCCGCAGCTGCTTGGGGGGGGGTGTCCAAAATTTGCCCCTTGCTGGACGCAAGTTTTGTCGCCTTTCTAGAGAGGATACCCCAACAGGGATCCTTACGTTATACACCTGAACATTGCAACTTGTAAATGGTGGTTTCCCTTTGTTTTGGTGTTGAAAAAGCCATGTTTCAAATGGGCAAAATGTATCTTTTAAGGAGCCCTGTGTGGGCATAGATACATGTGTGTATATATGTATATACAGGGTTCTATTTTTTGACCAGCTGCAACTAGACTTAAACCCAGGGTTCCCTTTTTGGGGTACATGACCCACCCCGGGTTTAAGTCATGGCGGGGGTAGTCAGAAAGTGGAACCCTGTGTATATATACATACATGGTACCCCCTCCATGGATCTACCTTCCTTCAGAATTCAAAACTCATGCTACTCTCAAGAGTGGTTGCAGGCTTGAAAATGAAACATTAAGTTGCGTACTTGCCCTTCCTATGGAGGAACGATGTGCTCGCGCGGTTTTCTGCACCGGCTGGTTCTAGATTTGGGTTTGCCTACATTGGTCAGCTTGTGGCCTGAATTCCACGACTCAACCGTTGCCATCATTGTCTGCGGCCTGCATGGTACAGTCTTCAAACGGCACGCTTGCACACATTCGGCAGAGCTTCTGTTTCTCAATCTTTGTTTCTGAGGTCCGCTCATCTGGCTTGCCTGCTGTGCATCTTGATCGCACGCTGGTCACATGGCTGAGGGTTAGATTGATGGGCTGGCTTCTTTGGTGACTCAGGAAACAAATGCCCAAACTGGCCATCCCACCCATGGGGGGGGGTCTTCAATTTTGCGAAAGGGTTTGAAACAGAATTTCGGGATGGATAAAACAGGCCCTAACCCACCAACAAGAAGAGACCACCTTATCCCCCCGGTCCCAAGGGCCAAGCGGTTGCCCTCGGCCGGCACTAACACGAACCAAAAGGGGTGCCTCGTTGTAACAAGAAGAAACCAAGCAGAAGCGCAGCACAGCGCAGAGCAGGCAGGCAAACCAGCAGCAAGCAGCACCAAGCGAGCAAAGCAAGCAATAGCAGCGCACCTCAAACAATAGCCCGACCCACCTCCAGGACAAAGAACACCGCCCCAGGCACAACGGCCGCGTAAACACGAGGCCGGTGTAAAGGTGCGCCGTGATCTTTTCCCGACGAAATGGCGAGCAATGAATGCCAGGTGAAAAGCTTGAGCCAAACGGCGCATTGGCCGTGGCATGGAAACATGCTATGATAAAACTACATGCCCCCAAAAACACCCCCCTCGACTGTACAAAGAGATGGAGTGAATTTGGAAAGGCGCATTGGCCATGTTGAAGTTGAAATGCAACAAACAAGAAAAACAAAGCCGATTAGGCTACCAGGGTTCGCGACCCCATACCCGGGCACTCATTGGTGCCCGGATCCCGCCACCACCCCGAATTACGGGTATGGGGCGGATTCGCGCCGGTAGCCAAATCAAACAAGAGAAAGCAAAAAGAAACAGAAACAAAGATTCAACTCCAGAATGGCAGGCATGAAATAAAAATACATTTGCACTGCAACCACATCGAACCGTAGGGTTCGAGTGGATTTATTTCCTGAATTCATGATTTAGGCGCATTGGCCCACTGGTTGAAACGTGGTGCTTCGACCACAAGACTACGGTCTTTAAATTAGCACCGTCTAGGCGCGCGATCACGCAAAGACCTTCGGTAGGAACACCACCAGCTGCAATCAGCGGTTCAGGTCCGAATAGGACCTCACCGGCAGCGGTGCAGCGCATCCATGATCCTCACCACAGCACCTTGATGAGCTCCATCACCAGCAGCAGCAGCGGTGCTGGAGAAAGCAGATCACCAGCGGCCATAGACGCCGCCGAGGATGACTTCCTTGCTGCGGCGACATACACCTGACAGGTAATCGCTGCCTGCGCGAATAGCGCACAGCTGCGCATGCAGTTGAATTCCGAAATGGCGAATAGCCCAAACACAGAAATACTACAAGGAGCATAGTCCATTATGTGAATTCCGGAATGAAGGCATGCGCGCGTTGGCGCCGCCACGCAAAGGAAGCAGACGAACATCAGGTATCACCGATGTCGTCCGCCGCCGTGCCGTCCCCTCCCCTTGTTGACGTTCCAGTCCCCAGGAGGAGGAGGCACGGTCTCGGCCAACTCATCATCCGCACCCCAGGTAGGGGTATGCGGCGAGTTCGGATTCTCGAACTCGCGGGGATCACCCTGCATGTGCGGCTGCCAACCCTGCGGCATTGCGCCAGGCCACATTTGCGGCATCATGCCAGCCATTGGCTGTTGCATGTACCCTCCCATTGGGAAAGCGGGGTACATCGGACTTGGGAACGGGAAAGGGGCTGCCTGAGCACCCTTGTATCCCGACCCGCGAGCATCAGGCTGATACCCGCCAGTGGGAGTTCTCGATCTGGCGGATCCGCCACGACCGAACTGCCCTTGTTGGTAGCCGTATTGGCCACCCTTGCCTTTGTACTGATCACCTTTGTGACCCTTTCCTGGGAACTGGTCACCCTTGTGACCTCCGCCCTTGGGCCAGGATTGTGCAGGGGCTTTGCCCTTTTGCTGATCACCCTTTGACCTGGATTCAGGTCGCGGGGTAGCAGACCGTTGGTCTCCCCTAGGAGTGGCTGCCCGCCTGTGGTGCTTCCCAACCGGCGGGTCAGCAAAGACAATGGCGCATTGGCCGTCGCGCCGCGAAGCGGGGACCATGTCAACCTTATTGTCTTCGACATAAATGTATGCCTCAGCATACTCAATTGGGGCCGTGATGGATCCACCACTGGCCCGCAAAGAGTCGATATTCCAATCAAGAACAGTGGAAGCGTCGAAACTCGGATCTTCAGTATTGAAGTCCGTGAGGCGTCGCTCAGCCTGTACCAACGACATTATGATGTCCGCGCGTGAGGCGCCTAGGCCATACAGCGGAACCAAATACCCGTCCTCAATCCCGATGCGGTAGGCATCAAAGATATGCACAGAGAGGTAAAGGGCAAATGCTGAATTTAGACTGCCCTTTCTCGTCATATGACGACCCCATTGCGCCGCCTGTTGCGGGTGCTCGATTAAATATGCCATGACAGACATATTGTCGGGAATCGAGACGCCAGTGTTGCTCTCCTCGATGAGCAGCTGCTTCGCTACCCACCGCTCGAGAGCCTCATCACTCGCCCGCACACAAGCGTGAGTGTCCTTTGAGGTGACCTTTGCAACCTCCTGAAACGCAACTTGCACAATATCCGCATTGGGAATGTGCACAAGATGCGGCGCGCAGCGCAAACCGGTGATCATGCAGCTGACCACCTCGCGAATCGGGTTTACCGATGCCATGAGAGGGGCCCACGCGTCGGTCTCCCCTTCATGCCAGCTGCTGGGGCGGACTGCTTTGAGTTCGCTCAGCCAGATTGGCTGTCCATGCTTAACCAGAGCGCGGACGGTGCCTGGCACCCATTCACGATAGAAAATCGGCAGATGGCAACCATTGCATAGAATGGTGCCATACATGTTCAAATGCGCGCACCGAGGGCACCAGTAGTCATGCATGGGAGCATTGTCCCATGAAAATGACACCCCTCTCCGCGGTCCCTGAACATTCAACTCACGGACCGCCCAGGGGCGGATGTATATTACATCCCCTTCCTGATGCAGATAGCATGCGCGCCAGAATGGCGCATGTATCTCTTCCCGCACGGCGATCAAACCGCGTCGGGTTTTGTAGATGCCGGCGGCTTCCTCGATGGCCATCCACTTTAGGTCAACGGCCACAACGACATGGCGCTTGTCCATGTACTTGACGCGGTCGTCAACATAAAATTCGCCCTCATTATTGGGGCTGGGCAACTTGAGGACAGGCACCTTTGCGCCCTCCATCCCAATCATGATCTCCCCCCTGCAGACCTGCTCAGGTCGCATGGGGAAAACTGTGATGGCGAATTTGCCAGGCCTCCGGATGCACCTCGTTTTGAGGGCGGACCGATACTCGGCCATCGTCAGCAGCACGTATCCCGTATAAGGGACTTCTGCTGCTCCCATCGGCCTAAGCAAAGGCCCCATAGGCGTTCGGTCACGCAGTGCCCAACGCTTGAAAACTTTGAACGGCACGTCCCTCCCGATTAGGGTGGACCGCGCAAAAAGCACCTCATTCGGGCGCACACTCGTGCCATCTGTCCTCCAGACTGTCCGTATTAGGAGCTCGACTGGAGGGTACGATGGGCTTTCCTTTGCGAGAGCACCCGCCCAGGTCGCTACCTCGACACTCGTGCACTTGTGGATCCCGTATAGGGCCTCAAGTAGCGTTGAGATCAGAGTCATTGACATCCAACCTCCCAGAATGTCTGGAACCGTCCCAAACAAGAAGGGAGGCTGCTCACCGGGCTTCACGTTTAACCGCGTAGGGTCAGTGTTGCCCGACAAAACTTCTAGCAGCATTTGCGATTCCCTGGAGCTTCGTCCAACAAACGCCGACACATCCCTAATTTCGGGGAAAAAATGGAAGATGTCATTTCCGGCAGGACAGGCGATTCTGCCTGCTATCCCGCCCTGTGCATCAATCACAACCTCTTCACCCTCGTATGTGAGGTTGTAGGTGCTCGTAATCGGGCACACACCGGGCTTAGCCATCAGTGCCTCTTCCAACGAC